GCCGGGGGGCCCCAGCCCCCACCCCTGCAGCTCCTGTAACTCAGCGCCGCTGCTCAGCTGCAGGCCAGAGCCCAAGAGCCTGTCAGGTTGAATTTCAGCCCAGTGCTGGTGCTCAGCTCCCTCTCGCCTCCGTATCTGAGGGGGGACCCCACATCCCCGCCGAGCGTGCCTGTCACCACACCCCGAGGAGGGCGGCCCTGCTGAAAACCAGCAGGGACCAACTGGCCCACTGCTGACCAAGGAACACACCCAGCTCCGGGCTCCCGCGCCACAGCGGAGGAAGCTGGGCCCCTCCGCGTGTTTAACGCTTTGTTGTGTTTCGGGGGACGGCGGCGGTCCCTCGAGCCCCATCCCCGGCAGGCGTTCACAGCGCTGCCTCGAGCCTGTGCACGTGCTTTTCTTTGGTTTTACTTCGTTATGTTCTCCTTTTTGTTCTTGATGAGGTAACAGTGACTCCCAACGCTGAACAGGGGTGCAGGCTCTTCAGCGACGCGCAGCCAGTCTCCCACCACTGTCCGCCGGGGCCTCCCCGCTTTCCTGGCCACCCGGTCTGCAGACTCAGCTCTGACTCAGAGTTCCCGGCATGTGCTTTGTTTCCTGCGGTCCGACCCTCTGTTCAGTTTCTGCGATCGCGCCTGAGCGAAGCCATCGGTATTTGTCGTCTTTCTCAGACTTAGTTCGCTTGGCTCTGTCCCCTCCAGTTCTGTCCACGTTGTGGCAGATGGCAGGAGTCCATCTGTGGGTGCACAAGGCTCCTTTCAAGTTAGACCAGACCAGGGCGCTTGATGGCCCTGGGGCAACGGGCACACCTTACGAGGTATGACCGGGAGTGCCCAAGGGGCACTGACCGATGTGCTTTCTGCTGCAGGGACAGACCAGTGGCGGCCCTGCTAGTAAGTCTGGAGCCGGCCCTCCCTGGTGGCACAACGGAGTAAAGCGCAGCACTGTGAAGCTGGCAGCGGCTGCTTCAGCACAGTTTGATCCCTGCAGGGGAGGTGACCCACAGGGCGCAGCAGACCTCTCCTGACGCGCCCACTGCTCCCCTCAGCAGTGGACTTCGTCAATCTGCCTCCTCTGCTCCCCACACCCCTGGCCTGCACCCCAGTACTTGTATGCATAAATAAATAAATCTTAAAAAAAAAAAAAAAAAGATTGGAGCCATGGGTGGGGGTCAGGAGTATGCCTGTGGACTCTCCCTCCCCAAAGCCCGTACACGGTCTTCAGCCTGTTGCCTCTTGTCTGTCATCAGAAAGACCAGGCCTTGCACGTCACTGGCCTCCTGCCCCACGGCCCACTCCACGACTCCCGTTTCCTTTCTTTACCAGTGTGGTGATGCTGATGCACTAGCCGCCTTTCCACAGCGGAGCAGTATTCCACTGTGTGGAGGCCACATCTTCTCCGCCCTTGGGCACTTAGCTGAGTCTGGGCTCTAGAGCCCACCTGCTCGTCCAAACCGCAGGCCAGCAGCCGGGTGTAAGTCACCGCAGTGGCCGAGCCACCGGGACCCAGGAGCAAAGCTCTAACGGGCACACTGGGAAGAGTCAGGCCACCTCGGAACACACGTCACCACGGCGACGGCCACAGGCCACGGCTTCTCGGGGTTCAGTTTTATTCTTTAGATACTACTGCTACGAAGAGGCTGGCTACACTGGAATGCATCGTTGGATTCACATCTGGGTTTCGTTTCGTTGCCCGGTTGGCTCCAAAACATACCCTTTGCACATGATGACTACGGAGAGAGAATTTGGGAAATTCTCCCAATGTCATATTTCGCTGGAACCCTCAGAAGTTAGGAGAGACATTTAAAATGCTGCATGCTGAAAAGAAACTAAGTTTGCAAGCGTCAAAGCAGCAAGTTCCAGAAACTGAAGATCTGAAGTGTTGATGATTTGGGTGAACAGACAGTGACATAAATACGGGCTCTGGCTGGCTCGGGGTCAGGCAGGCAAGCACGGGCGAGGTCCGCAGCATCCCAAGTAACTCCTGTTTCTGGCTAGAAGTACGCTCGTGAACGGCATTTTTTTTCCCCCAGAGTCTGTGATCATGAATAAGATGCTGTTTTTCTTGGATGCTCCCTGCGAAACTGTATAGCGTCGTGTTGGTAAGTTTTATTATTTCAGGGTAGCCAAAACCAATTTCAGACGAGACACCGCCAGCCAGGAGCTTCCAACACTTCAGTGCCTGCGGTTTTCATCAAGTTTTATATCATCTCCTTCTCCCAGAGCTAGGAAGTTCGCAAGGAGCCGTTTCATTTTGCTTCTCTAGGATGGATTTCTATACACGTGTTGGTGGAAACGAAAACCGCGAGTGGCTATTATCCAATCTGTTGCTAGAAATCATTGTTTTCAACATCCAGAGGCTTTCAGCCTGAGGACATCTGCTGTGTCCCAATCCTCCGGGACCAGGGCAAGCTCGGGGTCCAGACCCAGAAGCACCCCACCCTGCTGGGCCTCCCGGTCTGCTGGGGGGCTGCAGCAGTGTTAGTTATGCCACCCCGAAACAATATCGATATGCTAAATACTTTTGAGAATATTTTCTTTTGTAAACAGATGATTTATCAACACAACAGCCATGGGAAGTGGACACGGAATGCCTTTCTGGAGAGCCACGAAGGTTCAGCGACACGTGACGCTGCCTCGGACGTGTTCGGAGGGAAATTTGCTGCGATTACCTTCACCGGCCCCCACGCGAACCTGACGGAAGGAGGGGTGCCTGGAAGCCCACGTCTCCCTCCTCGTGAGGCCCGTCCATCAGACGGTCATTTTAGAGAGTGTGTTTCAGACGCGACACGCACAGGTCCTCACCTTGTCAAAAGCTGGGTAGACAGCACGGATTTCTGTCAACCAGCCATATGGCATGTGACCCACGGGGTACGTGGCTGTCAAAATCGCCACCGCCTGGGGGAGAGAGAGAGAGTCAGGAGGGCGCCTGGCTGGCAGGGCGAGTTGACGCAGGTGTGGCGGCCCTGACGGCTGGCCACACTGGGGACCCGTGCCAGCCAGTAGCAGGCTGGCCCAGCAGGGGAGCGCAAGGCACTCCCCGTGCCCCGGGGGTGGGAGAACAGCAGGGCCCACCTGGGACTGCAGGACCAGTGAAAGTCAGGGCCAGACCTGGGTCCCCAGGGCGAGATCTCCACCCAGGTCTGGACTCCGGAATCCGTGCTCCGTCCACGTTGCCACACAGAACCTTCCTGTCTCACCTGACCCTGCATGTCCAAGTGGGTTCTGAGCCCCCCCTGCCCCCAGCTCGACCGGCTGCAAGCTCCAGTCTGGTCTTCCGACCCCACCTACTTCTCGTCTGTTTAGCCAGGACAGCCCGATTTTAAGTTTTTATTTAAGAAAAGTAAGTTTGGGCTTGCAGGAGGCCAAAGTGTTTTTCTGTGAAAGTGAGTTTCTTTTCTTATGTGCATGAGAAGACAGAAACAGAAAACAAAGCAGAGTACCTCACCCTGCCTGGCCAGCACCTGGCCTTGGGGACGCCGGGCTTCCCACCTTCACCAGGAATGGGACTATGGGGGGCTCTGCCCTCTCCAGCCTCCCCCGACCACCCCCTGCAGGACACAGAGGATATCAGGGCCCCTGCGCAGGGCGGGGAAGTCAAGTTCACGTGCACATTCGGCACAGGGACAGCTGACGACACCTGTGGTTCTGTGCAGCCCAGGCGGCTCTCGAGGCCTGGAGGTCGATTTAGAAATGGCTCTGATGTCAGACTTGTTTTCCAAGGGGAAAGGACTTCCCACGCAGGGGAGGGGCTCACTTCCCACTGAGCAACCTACTCTGTGGAGCTGAAGCAAAACAGCTGCCCAGGCCACCCAAGATGACAGTCAGGGTTCACACACAGGTGGGGGGCCGTGGCCGCGCAGGATGGGCCGCGGCTGGAGCCCGCGGAAACTGGCAGGGGTGCCAGGCGGGGCTGGCCGGCCCAGCACTCAGGGCACAGCCACGGGTCTTCCTGAGGGCTGGGCGGCTCCAGAGACAGAATTAGTTCACCAGAGGGCCGCGGAGGAGGAGACCGGTGAAGTCATCCTATTTGTGCCACACTGGGAAGACGGAAAAACTGGTTCCAGTCTTGCTCTGGCACAGCTGCCAGTTTCCAGATACATTTCTTGAGCTGTCAGGGGTAAAGAATGGCGAGCCGGTGTGGAGGAGGGCAGGTGAGAGCAGGTAGGCGTCAGGCCAGGTGAGAGCGGGCAAGTGGGTCAGAGCCCAGGCCTGGAGCTCGCCCTCGGGCGGATTCCAGCATCTTCAGCGGCTGCCGCTGGCTGTGGACAGCACCCTGAGAGTAGCTGCCGACCCCTCCATGACGTCACCGACCCCTCCATGACGTCACCACAGTGACGTCCCTTCCATGACGTCACCGCAGTCACCCCTGGGCACCCCGGACACATGCCAAAGCCCAAGGCTGCTCAGTCCCTCATCGTCGCCCACGGCTTGTCTACACGGCTGCTCCTCCCAGGCCCCAACACCCGGGGCCCGGGCAGCTGTGAGCGGAAGAAGGGATCGGCCTGGAAGTGCATTCTCGCGGCCCAACACTGCGTGGCTCCAGGGGCAGCATACTCCACGGGAAACAGAGAAGCCTCTCTGCGGGATGAGCAACATCTAGCTCCTAGCAGAAGCCCAGCTCTTTGCTAGCTTTGTGTCCCTGCCTCAGTTTCCTCGCATGGTGCAGGGGGAGAGGAATCAGAGGCTGGCGCCATCCTCACAAACACACAGCGCGTCGCTGAACGGGCTTCCGAGACACAGTGACGTGGCGCGAGCCCGCCCCCCACACCGACACCTGCCCCAGCTGCCAGGGTGCCAGGGCCCCCCAGGACGGACCTACCTCTGTAGCAGCTGAGCTGCCCCCAAGGTCCCGGGAAACGAAGAGATTGACGATAGGCCTGCTGATCCTCTGCGTCGCTAGGATGAGGGCCAGCGGCCACCAGAAGCCCAGCATCTTCCTTACAGTTGCATCGCCCTGTGCCAGGAAATGGAGACAAGAAGCCCTCTCAGTTCCCGAAACAGAAACGGCAATCCAGAGCCCAAGCCTTTTTTTTTTTTTTTTTTAAGATTTTATTTATTTACCCATTCAGAACTGGGGTACAGGCCAGAGATGCGGAGGCAGCTACCTGGCCAGGGAGTAAC